ATTATACCCATTTTACAGATGAGGAGACTGGGTCATGGAGAAGTTATCTAATTATGTAATTTTCCTAAGCTAACACTGTGAGGTAGCAATAAGTAGAAGTCTCCCAGGGCCCTCCCATGCCCACACAAAGCATGAAAAGCAATAGAATGTGGTCTTGTGCATGAGGACACAGAGACTCAGCAGGCTGTGGCTCAAGGTGACTTGGGCAGCCCTTTGTGTGAACTAAGGCCCAGAGACCAGACAGGTCAGGACAGCTCTGTGATGACAAAGGGACAGGTGATGATCAAGAACAGATTCCCCCTCCCTCCTCCATGCCTTGGCAGCCTCAAACAGAATAAAAAAAAAAAACACACACCACCACCAAGAGGGAGGAGAGCTAGTGAAACACTGGAATGAATGTCTTATTAAACTTACTGAGATTAGATTTCTCCCCGCTGTTACACAAAAATACAGAAGGTTACATTTCTTGCAACCATTTCTACTTAACTTTCCTTTCTCTGCTGGGTTCTGGGAGGGAAACTTCAGTCAGACTTGTCACCTGCCCAGGCTTTACCCAGGGAGTGAGCCTCAGTCCCATCTGCTCTCAAATGCCCGACTTATCCTGCCTTGGGGCCTGGCTGGACCAGGGGTTGGGGGTGGATGGTGTGCAGGCCTCCTCCTCAGGTTCTTCCTGCATTGGAGATCTGTGCTCTGTTTGTCCCTCCTCCTCTCACAACAGCACCTGCAATTCTTATTTTGTCTGGGAGTGACAAGGAGTAGTTCAGACTGGTCACAGTTTCTTCTAGGTCTGTTATTTACAGCATCTACTTCATGCCCAGGCTTCTTGCAGGACGCAGGCATCTGAAGCTCAAAAGCCCAGGTCTTGTAGCTCAAGTCTGGAAAGGTTTTGCAACTTTAAATACCAAGGATTTGGCCCTACAGCTCTGCTCTGTTTTGCTGTAATCACCCAGTCAGGAGGCAATGGGTGCCTCCTGGTCCAGTTTAGCAGCTCCAAGGGAATAACAAGAGATATAAGAGGAAAAGACATCACTTAATATTAACCAAGTACCCACTTATTTGCCATTCCCAGGTGACTCAGCCTGGGCAATACTCCTGCCTACTAGCCATCTTTTCAGCTCCTTCAGGAAAATACCAGCATACCCTGTGGCTCAGTGATGCTTTTAAGTCCCAATTTAGTGATAACTTATTTATTAGATTTTCTAAATAAAAGTCCTAATACAGCCAGCCCTCCATATTCACCAGTTCTGCACCCTCAGATTCAACCAACCAAGGACTGAAACTATTTGAAGAAAAAGAACAATAAAACAATAGCAATACAAATAGAAGCCAATAACAATATGACAACTACTTACGTAGCATTTACATTGTATTAGATATTATAATCTGGAGATGATTTAGTGCATATGAGAGCATCTGCATAAGTTATATGCAAATATCATGTCATTTTATATAAGGAAGTTGAGTATCCATGGATTTGGGTTTCTGCAGGGAGCCCTGGAACCCTGTGGATGATTGTATATTTTGAGAACCAAAGCCCAGTGCTGCCCTATTGCAGCTATGAAGTATCCAGGCCACTTGGAGAAAGCTGACATAGGAGCAGGAACACAGCAGGAAGCTTTGATCCGCATCCTCTCTCTGGCTGCAGGCCTCAGATCTTGTGCACCAACTCTGACAAATGACTAGGACTGGATGCTCAGAGCACAGCTGTGTTGAGAAGGATTCTGAGGCTAGGTCCGCATTCAGCAGGGAAGAAATGAAGTAATTGGTAATGCCTGACATAGGCCTAAGAATAGGGGAAAAGTTATCCCTCCTACCAGGTTTTTGTAAAACTTTCTCAAATTGATTTTCATTAGACATGGTAAGGACCTACCCCACCCCCCCACCCCACACCTGAAATGGGTAAAAGGCAAAGCCTGATTTCCCTTTTTTTGTCAAAGCCTCAGATCACAGGGGTACCTGAGCCATTAGTATCCCAATGGCAGGCAGGACAGGCTCAGGGATGTGTGTCCACGAATCTCCAGTTTTTTGTTTGCTTATTTTCTTCTTTAAACTGCTTACAGTTTCTCTTCTCTCACCCTCATTTCCACAGGAGGTGTAACACGGCGGACGAGTGGGCAACTGGCTCTTCAGGCTTGGAACCAACAGGGGGCAGCAGAGAGCAGAGAAGAATTGGTTGGCTTGGGCTGACCTAGACCTAGGAAAACTTCCATTCTTCTTCCCTCAAAACGGAATCCTGGTGAACTCGCTCTTGAGACTATTGTCCACGCAAAAGGTGTGGTCCAAGGGCACAGCAAGAAAGGCGTGAAGGAGACTTTCTTTGAGGTTCAGGTGAAGAAAATCCTGTGCTGGATGCCAGGCTGCTCTGAGAACAGGAAGGAAGATACTGACGCCAGCAGCCACCGTTGCAATTACCCAGCCCCTGTAGGGTGCCAGGCCCCCTGCCAAGGTGCTTTCTTTACATTCTCTCCAAGACTACTTGAGGTGGGAAACCCCCAGTTTAAAGATGAGAAAACAGGGTCCCAGAGTGGTTAAAAACCTTGCCCACAATCACATGACTAAGGGAGGGCCAAACCACATTTTAGACCCTTGTCTGTCCTGGCCTCTGGGTTATGGTGCCCTTCCAGGAAGGAGGTAGAAAGGTGCACCTGGAGTTCAAACATCCTTGGGGAGTGTCCCCGACCCAAGGGAAGGCAAACGATCCTTCTGGAACAGACTTCTGTCTCCTGATGGCCACGGGTCTCCTGCCAGATTTAGTCAATTCATTTGCTCACAGGTCCATGCACCATCCTTAGCAGAGCCGGGGTAAGGTATCTGGGCTCGAAAACCCCGGAAAAAGGCAAAAAGAAAGATAACATAAACTTGTATGGAACTTTCCAGTACTCACTATGGAAGCCACTGTTTTATCCACCTACTGTGAGAGGTAATTATGCCACGTTGGAAGGTCACATTAGAACGCCCCTCACCCCCTGTGGCTTCAGCTTTATCCTGGGCTCAGAGATCAAGCCTTATTTAGGGAAGCACATCCAAACATATTTGAAACTTTTGGGATGGGCTTGGGGATAGGCACCAGGGGCATCTTGCTGTCGGTACCGTCCTGATTCTAAGAACTCTACTAATGCCACATTCCTGAATCCAAGCCTGGATCTGGGACTCAGGCTGCTGCCTCACTAAGTGCCTTATCTCCTGGGTCACTGCAGACCAGGGCCCTGTCTTCAGTCTACCAAAGGAGCCACATGTTCACATTCCAGCTTAGGTCCAAGTTGTGAGCCAACTTCATTTCTTAATGTAATCATTATTTGCTACTGCTTTTTTTTCTGAAAAATATATATGCTTTCTGATCCTAAATATGAAATTGTCTGAGCCAGGTGCAGTGGTGCACACCTGAGCTACTCAAGAAGGCTGAGGTGGGAGGATCACTTGAGCCCAGGAGTTTGAGGTTGCAGTGAACTATGATTGCATCACTGTACTCCAGCCTAGACAGCATAGCAAGACTTCATCTCTTAAAAAAATTGTTAGAAAATACATTAAAGCATAAAGGAGAAAAAAAATGTCCTGTCTTCCTTTCTAGATTCATTTTTTTCCACTGCACTTATTGCTATCTAACTCTGTATTTTACTTAGGTTTTTATTGTTTGTCCCCTTCTCTAGAATGGGAGCTGGACAAGATGAGGGCTTTCATGTTTTGTTCACTGCAAGTTCCTTAACTCCCAGAACAATATGTGGCACATTTACAGAATGAATGAAAGAATTCATAATGCTATGACATCAGTTATAATTTTATTTAACATTAGAGTGAGCATTTTTCAAGTCAATAAAAATTCTTCAAAGTATCACTTTAAATGGCTGATAATAATCTAGTGTATAGACATCTAAGCATGTGTGGAGCATGCCTGCAGTTTTGGATACTGAAAGATTACACAGGTTAATTTGATTCCCCATTTATCAAGCTACAGGAAGGCCAGGCTCACTTTGTTGTTTGGTTTCTTAGTTTCTTGTTCCTGGTCGAATGAACAGATGACACTGGTGAATTACAGAGAATTCCTGTCACTGCCCTCCTTAGCCTTGGCATAGCACTGTGGCTCCGCTCTCCAAATTTCTGGGTGATCCAGCTGGCTGGGCTGGTTGTGCTGAAGGGTGGGCTGCCCAGCGCAAGCTGAATTAGTAACAGGATGCTGTTATGGTACCCACCTGTGTGGCCTTGGGCAGGGAACTTACCTTTGTTCCTGTCTTCTTCTAGAAAAATCAGTTACATTTCTCTTGCCCCCCTCCCAAGGATGATTTCCTGGGAAGCAAATTAAAAAGTTGTGAAAAGCCTCGAAAAATTACTCAGAAATCTATCACTTCATCCTCTTTCACCTACAGTTCAAGTTTCAGAACAGTCCTTTAAAGAAGAAAAAATTAAGCACTAACGTCAGAAATATGAGTCAGTTGGGCTCAGAGAATGCAAGAACTGTAGGCCCAGGTTTCATGTAAAAGGGATTTTAGAGTTTACTTTGTGAGATGTTCACCTGAAAGAGCACAGGGACTTGATTCCCAACAGACTCTCCTGCCTCTGGATCTTTGCTCAAGCTGTTGTTCCCTCTGTCTGGAGTGCCCTTCCCCTCCATGTGTGCTTGTTGAAGATTTGCTGCCTCTAGGACCCCTTTTCCAAGGAGCTTTCTGGAAGCTTCTCCAAGTCAGAATTATGCTTTTTCTTAGGCATTGCATATGGCTTGTGCCATTCACTAATGACTGCTCTGCATCAGGATCTTTTGGTCTTAGAGCCATGTAGCTGATTTGTTAAAGGTGTGGGCTGCCTAGGATGGTGGTTTCCTGCCGTGGCTACACATTAGAATCACCTGGGGAGATTTGACTCACCTGGCCAAGTGGAAACCAGCATCAGCATATTTTGAGAGCTCCCCAGGTGGTTCTAATGTTCAACCAGGAGTGAAAGCCACGTACTGAGACCTCCTCTCATCTCATGCATGAAATTTTTGTTACATCTGATTCTTGCAGCTCACAGGCCCCCTTCCCTCACGACATTGAAAGAGAGATGAGTTTTCACCAAGTCTAAGACCTTAGCTCTGGCTTGATGTCTTAAGCAGGAGATGTGAAACCTAACTCACAATGTCCGTGGGGTTCTGAATTTCTGTTGCAATCATTTCAGCCAACTGGCAGCTTGGACTGGCGTTAGCGACAGATGTCTTCTGAGCAGGATGTACAGGTAAGCATATGAGTCCACAATCTGCCCAGAGAACCCAGAATCATCTAGCATCTAAAAGGCTTGGGGCTCAAGCTTGCATTTGGGCCCTATGAGATGAATACATTCAACTGTTACGGGCTCAGCAAGATACTTCTCCTAGGAATTCAGAGTCATTACGTCACTTTAGATCAACAACAAAGAAATCTTCTGGCTTCTGCAGCAAATGGGCATCTCTGTGTCTGAGGTAGGCTTGGTTGGTCCTGGGTCCTTGATGAAGAAGTCACGGAACTTGGACCAGGGGGTCTTTTTAAACATATTTCTCAGTTATTACCTTCTGTGGCTTTCTACTGCTTGAGCCTAAACCCCGCTTGAGCCTGGCATTGAAGGCCTCCTACAAATAGAAATTTAACCTATCTTGTCCAGACCTAAAATGATTATTGGAGCTCTCATAGCCCCACAGTTGCTACCTGGGGTCCTTTGGGGGAGGGCAGATGGTGGTAGAAACATCCATGACATTTTATGCCAAATATGTATACATTCTTTTCCTCAAGGAACTTTCAAGTTACCAGAGGGATTCACAGTCCTCCAACCTAGGGGGTTAAAGAATCACTGATATCTTTTTTTTTTTAAAATCATACTTGAAGTTCTGGGGTACATGTACAGATCGTGCAGGTTTGTTACATAGGTATACACACGCCATGGTGGTGGTTTGCTGCTTCTATTGCCCCGTCATCTACATTAGGTATTTCTCCTAATGCTATCCCTCCCCAACCCCTCACCCTTCTATTTTTCCCCTAGCCCCCCACCCTCCAGGCCCGGTGTGTGATGTTCCCCTCCCTGTGTCTGTGAAGAATCACTGGTATCTTCTAAGTCTTTTGCTTTACAGAGGAAGGAACTGAAGCCTGGAGAGGCAGTGACTTGCTCAAGGTCACACAGAGCGGGTCTATACCTGCAGGCCTCCAGGCATCCAGTTGTCCCCACCAGGCACCCCTGCATCTGTCCCTGAAGTTCTCAGCTTCCTCAGTGATGTCTGCAGGCTGATCACCAGAGTAGTATGCTGCTGGGTCAGGGTCGGCAGGAGCCTCCACAGGTCTCGGGCCTCTGTGGCCTAACCTGGATGACAGGCTATTCTGGCATCTTCTCTCACCGGGACCTTCTTGGGTCCCCAGGCATCTGTTCATGCAGTGGTCCATCTAACTGGGATGATTTCCTCCAAACAGACCCTTCTGGTCCTACTGTGGTATGGGTCTCATGTATGCATTTTTTCTCTCCTTTTTTAATAGGAGAAAAGGCATACAAATTTATTTAACATGTATACATGGGAGTCCTCGCAATGAAGACCCTGTGCATGTATTTTCTAACACACTGTTTACCTTTTCTGCCCTTTGGTCTGTAATTCACCTTAATTTAGAAGGTCAGATAGGGCTTTCAGGTATTTCTTATTTTTTAATCAAATACTTGTATTCTTAGTGTTTTGGACTTTATTAGATTACCATCTTTTGATCACCAGGGAACAAAAACTTGATGTTTCATTCCCTTTGCAACTCCAGTATCCATTGATGATAGTCACATTACAGACAGAAACACCACGTCGTGAAGTCCTGGTAACTGTCTTTGCTGTACTATTTTGATGGTTACATAATATAAGGCATACTAACGTGATAAACAGGCACCAACCGAATGGTAACATTTTATTGGTGTTATTGTGGTGGGTTTAATTCCTGCAGAAATTTTGCAAACTCCTTGAGGTCAGGAATTATGCCTTAAACTCTCATCGCCCCAACTGCAAGCAGCACAACGCTGGGCATTTCAAAGCTTTCCATAAATCACTGCATGCTTACCGTAAACAGGCTTTATACCAGGTAAAGGCTGGGGAGGAGATGCCTGGGAGAAAAGTGTTCGGGGAAAGCTTTCAGCTGGTCAGACCCAGTGTTGTGTCTGCTCCAAAAAGAGTGTGAAAGAGCAACTTGTTGGCAAGTAACCTTCCTTTGTGAGGAGCAGAACTCATTTTTTCTCAGTCCCAGAGGCAAAATCAGACTTGGCTTGAGGCTGTGCTGCTGGGCTGTGACTGTGTGTGATCTGAGGAGAGTGGGGAGCCAAAGTCCCAGCCAGGGCCGGCCCTCTGTGGCCACCAGCAGCCACCAGCTGTGCCTCCACTGTGATCCTCAGCTGGAGCCTTTGAACAGACCCTGAGTTATGTGGCATATACAGTGGATGAAGCTAGAAGCCTGGACATCTGGTGACTTCTGACCTTGAGCCTGAGACCAAGAAGGCCCCTCCTCTACAGGGTCCAGAGGTAGGACCTGTGGTCAGTGGCCCTGACTCCTCACCTGCACCCAGGACCAGGACCAGACTCCTTAGCTGTGCATTCAGTGCTCTAAAACATGCTTCTCTTTGGTCTCATCTCCTCTCTCCTTGGGAGATGGGCACTGGGAGGACCCCACATTTATACCACATCCCTACCAGTTCTGTGCCCCACAACCCTCCTCATTATTTCCTGCTCCTTTTCGGAGACTTTTTTTCACTCTTCTTTGAGCCAAATCCACCCTCCTCTTCCAGTTCTTCCCACCAACTCTCTTACAAGCTTGACAGCTGTAAAGCAGGCCTGCAGGGAAGGGGAAGGTGAATTTGGGCCTAAACCTCCTTGTCATGATCATAGATTTTGGTGTCAGACACACGTGGGATCAAAATTCAGCTCTGCCACTCATTGCCAAGTGACCTGCGGCAGCAACTTCATCTTTTGTAGCCCCAGTTTTATCCGTAAAATGGTGGTAATAGCTGTCCCATGGTATTGTGGAAGGCATTAAGAGATGTTGAGTATAAATAACATCTGAGACCCATAGCCAGTCCCTGGTAAATGGAAGCCGTTCCAATGCCAAGCCTTCAGATCACTGGTGCTTTTCAAATGTCTGCATGGCCAGGCCTCCAATCTGCTCAGGACACCCAAGGGTTAAGCATGTTATTGGCTTCCTGAGATTTCCTGGTATTCCCTCATGGAGGCATCTGGGGATTGTGGTATGATGCTCAGCCAAGAGGCTGCCGTATGTACCCACACTTCAGGGAGGTGAGGAAGGGGAGCAGTATGTGTGACAGAGATGGCATTGAGTGAGAACTGGCAGACTTGGCTTCCCCACCTGTGCTGCAATGTTCCAGTGTCTAACCTGTAGATGTTGACTGAATGAGAGGAGACTACATACGCTGTGAGTCTTAGTTCTCTGATCTATACAATAGGGGATTAGTACCTTTTGGGGTTGGCGTGGACACTATATGAAGGAGCTGGAATACTGCAGCTATTAGGAGCCATATTCTAGAACGAAACTGCCTGAGTTCACATCCCAGCTCTGCCACTTACTGGCTTTGCAGTTTTGAACAAGTTATATCACCTTTTAGTTTGACTTATTCTTATAAAAAATGACAAGGTTAACATCTATCTGACAGTGCTATCAAATATGTTTTCATATATGAAATACTTAAAACATTGCTTGGCAGTAGGTAAGTCCTTGATAAATGTTATCGTCTCTTTTATGATGATGAGGGTGTCTGTTCTAGTGCCTGGCATGTCTTAGGGTACCCAATAATGAATTTCCTTTTATTCTTCTTCCTGAATCTAAGGGAATATGGTACATAAGACTCCACTATTAAGTATTTTTGATTTCCTAGAGTTTGACAATAATATGGAAATGCCCTAATTTTGGGATAATTATACTCTGTGTATTGTTCAATTCAGTTATACTATAATTGGTTGTTCCGTGCCAGGTGCCAGGCTGAAGCATTCTCATCAGCGATGTGAACTTGAATAGCATGTGATCTCTGCCTTGGGCTCACAGTTTTGTAGGGGTTTTATTTATTTGTATATTTATTTATTTGTACATTTGTTTGGAGCCTACCACAAATGTACAGAGTACAACAGGTGTTATGATGAGGTCTGAAGGTACACAGGAAAGGGCAGAGAAGTTTTCTTTTAAGGTAATATTTGAGCCAACCTTGAAGTCTGTGCCAAAGATGGTCAAACCAGGGCATGAGAATGAGTAACAGTGGGGCTGAGAAAACCCTGCCAAACAGCATCAAATTTGCAACAAAAGATGGTAGGTTTGGAAGTGCACATCGTTTCTTCCATTGTCGCTCACCAAGCAGGCAGCATGTGCTGGCACATTGCTAGGGGCTAGAAATAGAAGGCGCGTAAGACCCACTCTCTGCTCTCCAAACGCTCATAGCCTGATGGGGGCACGCCCAGTTGTCCAGTTAGGAAGGTTGTACATCTTCCTGTGATCATCCTGCTTCCTCCCAAAGCCTATCAATCACCAAAGCCAATCAGATGGTTACTCAATGTTGATCACTATGGGAATATATGAGTGATATAGTTAGAATATTTGTTCCCACCCAAATCTCATGTTGAAATATAATCCCGAGTACTGGAGGTGGAGCCTGGTGGGAGGTGATTGGATCACGGGGGTGGATGTCTTATGAATTGTTTAGCACCGTCCCCTTGGTGCTTGTCTTTGTGATAGTGAACTCTAGTGAGATCTGGCTGTTTAAAAGTGTGTGGCAACTCAGTCTCTCTCTCTTGCTCTGCTTCTACCACCTGAAGTGCCTGCTCCTGCTTCATCTTCCCTTCTGCCATGATTGTAAGCTTCTTGAGGTCTCTCCAGAAAATAACGCTGGAGCTGTGTGCTTCCTGTACAGCCTGCAGAACTGTGAGCCAATTAAACCTCTTTTCTTTATAAATAGCCCAGTCTCAGGTATTTCTCTATAGCAATGCAAAAGTAGCCTAATACAATGGGAGTGATTAGGAAACTTAGGGTGAGCATTGAATGTGGGAGGTAGGAACCAGGATGTCACTGTGTAGAGAGAAGAGTCAAATTTAAGGACTTGGGGGAATGTCTAGCTTCACTCAGAGAATCTGACCACAGCCTCCATCCCCAGGCTGTGTAAGGTGTGAACACAATGCTCTGTTGGGGGTTGCTGATGCCATTCCTGGGGAAGGGGGCCATCTGTCGGCTACCCTGAACTCAGCCTGTGAATCCAATGAGAGGCCCACCTTAAAACCCACCTCTTCTAACTCATCACACCTGTCTTTGGAGAGGAACTCAAGTAGTGGTCTCTGTAGTAGCTGATGAAATCCTTATCAGTCATCAGTCTTGACCAGGCTGGGTCTTCATTTAGGATTAACAAAAAGCATAGAAATATCAGAACTCTGAGGAGAATTGGGAGCTCAAAGGAAGGTGATCAGGCTGAGAATTCAGAGTGACCATTTCTGACTGAAACAGGGCTAATGTAGGAAATGGAAGAACAAATTAGTCTAATGAATATTCTTAGAGATATTTTAAAAGAAATTTAATTGATAAAATGAGAGAAAGTTGACATAAAATAGAGGAAATCAGGCAACAGAAAAGAATCCTGAGAACAAAACAGAAAAAAGAAATGGAGACAGTAACTGTTAGAAAGGGCGTATAGCTAAAAATAAGATTAGTGAATTAGAGGACAACTTAGAGAAATTTCCCAGAATGCAGAGCAAAAATGCAAAGATGGAAATTATGAGAATAAATGATAAACATATAAGATAGAGTTTAGAAGATCCAAGAACCCAAAATAAATATGCTGAAGTAGAGGACCAAATGTTTAAAGGAGAGATAATAATCAAGGAAACATAAAATATTTTACTGTAGTAGCTGATGAAATCTGTATTAGGATTGGATCATGTCCTGTTTTTTTTTTTTTTTTTTTTTTTTTTTTTCAAATACAGAGAAGGTAGAGAGAAAGAAAGCTATGGCCAGATTTTTTTCTGAAGACAGAAAGCCCTAATTGGAGATAAGAAGGAGAAAAGAGCACTCTATAAATAGTTATAAAACAGAAGAAATGTGAATTTAGACTAAAAGGCTCACTTTTATATCTGAAATTTTGGAATTCTAACCAAGAGAAAATTCCGAAATCTTTTAAAAAGGAAAAATAAGCCAGTTACAAAGGAGAGAGGGTCACACTGTTATTGGATTTCTAATCTGCAACACTAAATGATGCAATACAATGGAGCAATATTTATACAGTTTAGTGGGAAAAAATAGAGACGCTATAATCATTTTAATGATTCTTATGTGAAAGCAAAAGAAAGAAATATTTAAGACACAGTCTCAGCAACTATTCTACTCACGTAACTTTAAAAAAATAGCTCCTTAAGAAAGTTCTTCAGCAACTAAAAAGAAATTAGCACAAGACACCCCAACAAAGCGGAAGATAAACGTACATGAAACTGGTGAGCAAAGAAACCAACAAAGCATATCTGTGGTCTGATACAGAAGTAGAGAGAGCTGCTTATGGAGAAAGACAGGCCAGGTCTCCAATCCTTACTCTGGTTCTGTTGTGGTTGGAGATGTTTAGTCCCTTGTGATGGTTAAAAAACCAGGCAATGGCTAGATCCTGACCTCTTCTCATGCAATTGAGGACACATGTGCTACTCAGAAACAGAAGAAAGGGAATCAAAGCATAACCATATTAATACTTGTACATGTGCTTGGCACAAGACAGGCCTTTGGCAAAAGCTGAATTGTAGAGTCTGGCTTAGATTCAGAAGTGGGGTTTTTCCACTTCTCTCTCCAGTTTAAATCGAAATCTTGAGAATAGCAAGCTCAGCTGTGCTGAAAGTTGGAGATCTCTGTCTCTGTCTCTCTCTTTGCCTCTCTCTCTCTCTCTTACCCTCCTTCCCTCCTTCCCTCTTTCTCTCTCTCTCTGTCTCAATTTGCAGAACAGATCATGTCTTTTTTTTTTTTTTTTTGCAACTACAGAGAAGGTAGAAGGTAGAGAGAAAGAAAGCTATGGCCAGATTTTTTTCCTGAAGACAGAAAGCCCTAATCAGAGGTAAGAAGGAGAAAAGAGCACTGTATAAATAGTTATTGACCTTAAAAAAAATAACTTTACAAAAAAATTCTGGGCTCTGATCCATCAGGTTATCAGTTCACAGACCCTTTGGTAATGGTGAGGCTGTCAAGGGAGCAGGCAGAGTTGGGATTCATGGCACAGGAGCTGAAGAGTCCTCTTACTCTATACACCCCTCCTTTTGTTTTGTCTTAATCCATTGGTCTTAGCAGTCAAGCCCAAGGTCAGTCTCCAAGAATTGGCTGTTCTTATCATGAGGGTCCTGATCCCACCTTTGTGAGGCTGCTTACCTGAAGTCTCCTACTGCTCCTGTCTGTCCTCCTGGGACCAGGTGTGCAGTGCAGCCTCTGACATGGCAATAGGAAAGCATTTCTTCTTTCAAAATTTAAAAAATGTTGTGAGTACATAGTAGGTGTATATATTAATGAGGTACATGAGATGTTTTGATACAGGCATGTGATGTGAAATAAGCCTATCATGGGGAATGGGGTATCCATCCCCTCAAGCATTCATCAGAAAAGCATTTCTTAACTTGAGGTCAGTCTATCTTAGGAACACTCCAGGTAATTCTACATTATCAAACAATTGTTTTTACATTCAATTTTCCATCTCAGATTATGCCTAGCCGTATATGCTAGTACAAAAAATGTATGTACAACAAACCCAAATAATATAATCTGAAACATTCCAAATTTGAATGTAAACTCTCTTCCATTATTATGAATCCATTGAGAAATTAAATTTCAAGATAAAATTCCCTTTGCTGGTAAAATTCTAGAGGAAAAATGCCCATAATATCTTCCTGTGTGTTTCCTTTTTCTGTTTATTCTCAGTTAGAGAGGTCTTACCAAGATACTTGGGTGCAGTCCAGGTTTCTTTTGTTACTTTAGCCTCTATTATCTTTTCCTGCAATGATTGAGCACCTCTGTGGCATCTTCAATATTAAATTCACCAAACCTCAAATCTCCCATGTGTTCCAGTTTTCAAGTTCCAGAGCATCAGCAGGGCCCCTAAAGCGAGGAGTAGATTGGCTTGGCTGAGGGATTCACCATCAGCCTCAGATATGCCTACACATTCCATTACTTTATCCCAGGTATCCTTTTAATAAACCACCTAATTCATGAGGATCTATAATTTTCCGTATCATGTTTTCCAGTATTCAAGAGCACTGGCCCCAAATGGATACACACGATTATAAATATAGTTGCAAAAGAATTTTGTATAAAATATTAGCAAATCAAATCTAGAAAGGTATTAAAAGTATAACATGCCATGACGGAGTTAAATTTTGTTCCAGGCAGGCAAATATTGCTTAACATTAGGAAGTCTGTTAATGAATTCATTTTACTAATAGGCTAAAGGAGAAAAACCATATGACTTTCTATTTGAGTGCTGAAATAGATTTTACTAAATCCAACATCTTTTCCTAATTAAAAGTTTTAGTAAGTTTTGAAGAGAAGGAAGGTTTACAAACATAAAGAGCATAAGAAAGAAGCAAACATCACATTTAATGGTATAATAACAGAGGCCTCACTAGTAAAGGTATAAGGACACCTCCTATCCCTGGGATTAATCAAGGGAGTATTAGAGTCTGAGCCAAAGCAGTAAGATAAGATAAAGAAATGAGAGATGCAAATAGAGAAAGAGAGACAACATTATAATTGTTTAAGTTTGATAACATTGTTTGGCTGAACTATCTAAGAAGACTGATTTTTAAGAATTTATACTTAAGGTGCTGAATGCAGAATAGCAACATTCCTATATATTAGTATCACCTAGTCAGGCAACCAGTGGGGAAAAGATGCTTATAACCAAAATATCTGTAAAATACATAAGAATAATTGCAGCTGGAAAATAGAAGAACTGGAAGGAAATTTTTGAGAGTTTCTTTTATAATCTTGGTATAGAAAAAACCCTCCTTAGCATATAACAGAGTCTGTAATATGACACAAAAGACTGACAGATTTGACTAGATAAGAATTGTGAATGTCTGTACAACAAAAGACACCATAAAGAAAGTTCAAAGATGAGTGACAGACCCAGAGAAAATATTTGCAACTTGTATAACAGAGAAAGGATTTCTATCCAGAATATAAAAGACTTCTATCAATCAGTCAAACAAGTGATAACAACCTGATAGAAAATGGTCAAAAAGTACTGGATTTGCTAGGATATGTTTGATGATGTAATAGACAAGCTGCCAAAATTCATTTGATATCCAAAAATATTTGTTCACTATCACCTGGCAGCTCTCCTCCAATCAGTGATTCGGGAACCCCAGCATTGCATCTTACACACTTAGCATCCAAGGTCAAAGTGTTCAAACTGAAGATACAACATGGACCTTGCTGTAATTGGTGCTTGTATTTCAGGAGGGGGAGATAGATTCAAGAAAAACCAAGTGAATTTAAAGAGCAAGAAAATTTCAGAGAGTGGTGAGTGCTAAAGGTGAGGATCATTATGGTGACTAGCAAAAGCTCCTCTAAGGAGATAACATTTGAGCTGTGACTTTAAGAATCAGAGCCAGCTATGTGAGAATCTGAGGAAATAGTCTTTTAGGCAGTCTGCAAGAAAAAAAGGCTTTGTGGTGGAATGAACTTGACTTATTTGAGGTGTCCAGAAAATGTTGGTTTAGAGGAATGATGAGAGTGGTGGTATCAGATATGGGGGACTTCAAAGTTATGTAGGACCTTATAGACAGAGCAAAGTTATTTGATCTTTATCCTGTGTGCAATGAGAAACTAAGATGTCAAGGTTCAGTAGTATCTGCATAACGATGCCAAATCAACACCCCTTCATGTTAAAAACTCTGAATTAACTAGGTATTAAAGGAATATACCTCAAAATAATAAGAGCCATCTATGATAAACCCACAGCCAACATCATACTAAATAAGCAAAAGCTGGAATCATTCCCCTTCAAATCCATCACTAGACAAGGATGCCCTCTCTCACCATTCCTATTCAACGTAGTATTGGAAGTCCTGGCCAGAGCAATCAGCAATCAAGCAAGAGAAAGATATAAAGCACATCCAAATAGGAAGAGAGGAAGCCAAACTATCCTTGTTTGCAGATGACATGACTCTATAAGTAGAAAACCCCAGCTTGGCCAATGTGGCGAAACCCCTTCTACTAAAAATACAAAAATTAGCTGGGTGTGGTGACATGTGCCTGTAGTCCCAGCTACTCATGAGGCTGAGGCAGGAAAATCACTTGAACCCGGGAGGTGGAGGTTACAGTGAGCTGAGGTTGTGCTACTGCACTCCAGCTTGGGTGACAGAGCAAGACTCCATCTCAATAATAATAATAATAATAATAATAATAATAATAAATCAGAGATGACACTAACAAATGGAAAAACATTGCAATACTCATGGTTAGGAAGAAGCAGTATTGTTAAAATGGCCATACTACCCAAAGCAACTTACAAATTCAATATTATTCCTATTAAACTGTTAATGACATTCTTCACAGAACTAGAAAAAACTATTTTAAAATTTATGTGGAACCAAAAAAGAGCCTGAATAGCCAAGGCAATCCTAAGCAAAAAGAACAAAGCTGGAGGCAACATGTTACCTGACTTCAAACTATACTGCAGGGCTTCAGCAACCAAAACCACATGGTATTAGTACAAAAAGAGACATACAGAACAATGGAATAGAATAGAGAGCCCAGAAATAAGTCTGCATCCCCACAACCATTTGTCTTTGGCAAAGCTGACAAAAACAAGTAATGGAGGAAGGACTCCTTATTCAATAAATGATTCTGGGATAACTGGCTAGTCATGTGCAGAAGATTGAAACTTGGTCATTTTCTTACACCATATAAAAAATCAACTCAAGATGGATTAAAGATTTAAATGTAAAAACCAAAACTACAAAGTCTCTGGAAGACAACCTATGCAATACTGTTCTGGACATGGGAACAAGCAAAGATTTCGTGACAGGTGCCAAAAGCAAATGCAACAAAAGCAGATATTGATAAATGGGATCCAATTAAACTCAAGAGCTTCTGCCTAGCAAAAGAAACTATCAACAGAGTAAACAGACAACCTATAGAATAGGAGAAAATGTTTTCAAACTATGCATCTGGCTTAATATACAGCATGAGAAAAACAACAATCCTGTTAAAACTGGGCAAAAGACGTGAACAGACACTTTTCAAAAGAAGACATACATGTGGTGAACAAGCATATAACAAAAGCTCAGCATCACTGGTCATTAAAGAAATGCAAATCAAAACCACAATGAGATACCATCTCACACCAGTCAGAATGGCTATTACTCAATAGTTGAAAAACAACAGGTGCTGGGGAGGTTGTGGAGAAAAAGAAATGCTTATACACTGGGGGTACAAGTGTAAATTAGTTCAACAATTGTGGAAAATAGTCTAGCAATTCCTCAAAGACCTAGAAACAGAACCACCATTCAACCCAGCAATCCTATTACCGGATATATACCCAAAGGAATATAAATAATTTTATCATAAAGACACATGAACACATATGCTCATTTCAGTGCTATTCACAATAGCAAAGACATGGAGTCAACTTAAATGCCATCGATGATAGGCTGGATAAAGAAAATGTGCTGTATTTTGTATATACCAAGAAATACTATATAGTCACAAAAATGAATGAGATCATGTCCTTTGCAGGTACATGGATGGAGCTGGAGGCCATTCCCCTTAGCAAACTAATGCAAGAACAGAAAACCAAATACCACATGTTCTCACTTATAAGTTGGAGCCAAATAATGAGAACGCATGGACACATCGAGGGGAACAACAGACAATGAGGCCTACATGAGGGTGGAGTGTGGGAGGAGGGAGAGGATTAAGAAAAATAACTAATGGATACTAGGCTTAATACTTGGATGATGCAATAATCTGTATAACAGACCCTCATGACACAAGTTTACCTATATAACAAACCTGCACATGTACCCCTGAAATTAAAATAAAGAAAAAAGAGGGAAAAACAAGAAGCAATGAAGACATTTTTTTTTTTTTTTTTTTTTTTTTTTTTTAGACGGAGTTTCACTCTTGTTACTCAGGCTGGAGTACAATGGCGCGATCTTGGCTCACCGCGACCTCTGCCTTCTGGGTTCAGGCAATTCTCCTGCTTCAGTCCCCTGAGTAGCTGGGATTACAGGCATGCAACACCATGTCCAGCTAATTTTTTGTATTTTTAGTAGAAACGGGGTTTCACCATGTTGACCAGGATGGTCTCAATCTCTTGACCTCGTGATCCACCTGCCTTAGTCTCCCATAAAGTGCTGGTATTACAGGCGTGAGCCACCATGCCCGGCCGTGAAGACAGCTTTTGAAAATGCTCTCTGAAGGCCGTTTTGAACAAATTTGTGCTAGTTCTCCACCTCCTCTTCAGGCTTAGATTTGCTGACTGAAGTCATTTGACAAGATTTCAGTGGAGTGGAGTGTGTAAATGTTATGCAGAATGAATTACTGGTCTGTAGACATTCATTTCATTACCCTAGATTCTATTAGCAAAGTTCAGTTTATGGAGCAGTCCAAAATGATTAATGCCAGCTTCTTCAGGAATGTTTCAAATTCTGAGCTATATATGGTTGTGGAAATTATTAAGAGATGTCCATTTTAGCCACTAGAAGGTCTACTTGTGATTTTGGAATGTGCCTTCACTTTCTTTTTAAACTGCAAACCAGACCAACAAATAGAGCACCTAACACAGTTCCCAGCCCACAGCCCAGGCTCAGTGCTGATGAAGGAATGCAAAAGTCGATTGTCAGAGAGTCCTCTAACCCCAGGCCTGCTTTGGATATGCTCCAGGAGAATGGGGCTGTGTCCCTGATACCTAGAGCAGCTCTTGGCACATGATAGGCAAGCAATCAATATCTCTGAATGACTGAGTGGATGAATGATGAGATTTTTCTGTACTTTAGCCACATTTTCACAAACAATGGAGCTGTCCATCCTTGTGGAACCCTTGGTTTGACAACATTGCCTTGGAAAAGTGGACCAAGGATAAGGACTGTTGTCATGGCAATCGGGCACCGCCCATACCTCCAGCTTCTATCCACATCCTCTTCCACCCTCAACCCAGTGCTGTGGCCACTGGCAACTTCTCCCAGACCGCCTCCTCAAAGCTTTTACAAGCGCCGTTCCTCTTTGGGGAAAGGCCTCATCTGTACTCACCCTTGCCTCACTGATTGGCTAGTTAACTCTTGCTTTTCTTTCAGGTTCCAGCTCAGTTGTGGCCTCTTCCAGGGTATTTCTCTGACTCTGCACACTCTCCCCTCACTGACTACATAGGATTCCCGTGTCATATGCTCTTATGTACCATTTTTCACAGTGATTATCAAAGTTTATAATTTTGTTCTGTAATTATTTTAAGACAGCATTGTGTAGTGATTAGAGCAGGAACAAACTCCTGCTGGGTTTAACTTCAGCTCTGCCATGTGCAAATGGCATGAACTTGGGCAAGGTATTTCACCTTTCTTTATTTACTTACTCATTGGTAGAAAGAAGATGACAACACTACTGATTTTTAGGGTAGTTGTGACAATTAAATAAGCTAATAATTGTAAATGCCACTTTGAGTTGACCCCTTTTATTTGATGAGAGTGTGTCTCCTGTGCTAGACAGCATACCCCATGAGGACAGAGTCAGCATTAATTTTATGAAATAAAATTCTCATATTTGGTGGTGTCTGGTCTCTGGTAGGCACTCAATAAATTTTTGTGAAAGAAATGAATGAAAAATCATAAACTTTTTTTCAACAAGCAGGTGCAAGACTAGAGAAGGAGGCCTGCTGCAAGGGTTGCAGAAAGGCCCATGCCTCCACCCTCAGTCTGGCTATCATTGCTAACATCACTAAGCCATGGCTGCTGGGCAATTGCTGGGAAAAGAAGCACTTTCAAAGCCAAATGAGCACCTACTTTCCGACAAACTGTCAATAGCATCTAGTCCTGGCCCTATAGGTCCTTGAAGGATAAAATCTTTCTCAAACATATATATGTGGCTCTAATGAGATGTGTTAAAATAGAGCAGTGCTTTTCAAGTTTTGTATGAAAGCTACAGGATTTGTTAGAACATAGACTGCTGGCCCCACCCTCAGTAATTCTAATATTGAATTAGCTCTGGGTTGGATTTGCATTTCTAACAAGTTCTACTTGCAGCAACTCCTGTTGGGCCAGGGACTACGTTTTGAGAACCACTGAAATAGGGGAAGGTTCTTGACATGAATGGGGAAGGAGGGTGACTAATTTGACTCTAGGAGAGTGGTCACAGAGGTGGTGACATTTGAACTGCTCCCAGAAGGATGAGAAGGGGATAAGGGCACAGGTTCCCTGCAGGGCATGAGCAAGACGTGGAGAGATGAGAGTGTGTGTTTGGCAAATGATCTCGTGGGAAGAGGCAGAGGCTGCCAAGCCTATAGCATTTCAGGGTCATTTATTCCTTATTCTTGGTCAGGATGGGGAGAGGTAGCCTGGGGAGAAGATGGACCTAAGAGAGGACAGGATAGGCAGGAAGAGCTTAAGCTCTTCAGCTTTGTAGTTAGACAGACTTGGTCTTGAACCTTGACTTCATCACTTACTACCTGCAGGACTTTTAACAAGTAATTTACTTTTTTCAGCCTCGATTTTCTCACCTGTGAAATGGGACAGAATAGGAACTGTTTCATAAAGTAACTGTGGACTAAGTGAGCTAATAGATATGAAATACTTGACTTTGTGTTTGGTCCATAGGGGATACTCTGTAACGGGAGCTATTGTCAGTATTAGTCATTAATTGGTCAGTCTAATGCAGAAATGACCACATTAAAGATATTTATACATCTGCCTTCCCCACCAGGCTGAGTTCCCTGGGCATGGTCAGTGACACCTCCTCAGGGATTTCTGCTCCCATGCAGGGCTCTCTGGGAGCAGTGTCAGGGAGCCAGCAGACACTAGGAAGAGAAGCAGGATGATGAAGCCAGAGAAGCTGGAGGAAGCTTCTGCCTATGCCCCAGCATGACCTCAAACAGATGGCCCAGCCCAAGGAAACTGTAAACCCAAGCCCAACTTCAGGCTGCATTGACCCTTCCCAAGAGAAGAGGGCTTACCATGGTACAGTGAATACAGCAGTGAGCAAGACAGTGTCCTGCATTCATGGAGGTCAAGAAAGCTGAACCAGATGAGAAATCAGGTAGCTTTTCAAGGAGCTCATGGGTAATTATACTAGGACATGTGGGTTGGAAGTTCCTGCCATTGGGAACAATCCTCCTGGCGGAAGTGTCCAGTATATTGTTGGTGATTTGGGGATAAAGAGAAGGGCGCATGAGGTCCTGCTCTTTCTCTCTTCTATTCTGCAGGGTGTGAGCCTGTCCATGGCAAGCTCCAGCCAGCTCTGCTCCTCCTGCCCTACCTCTTACATGACCCTGCTGCCTAGTCTGCACGTCAACACCCAGAAGCCATCTTGCCCACTGGTATCAGCCACATGTTCTAATATCAACTGTATTGGAAACAAAGTTGAGATTTTTTTCTCCCATCTGCCTTGCTTTTCTTCTTCTTCCCCTTCTCCTTCCCCTTCCCCTTCTTTCTTCTTTCTTCTTTCTTCTTCTTCTTCTTCTTCTTCTTCTCCTGTTATTGCATCAGAGCTAACATGGAGTAGTAGGGTGCTATTTTGTGGCCCCTTAAACTCTCCAACAAAGGGAGTTAGAAAGGGTTAGGAAGTGCTATTTTAGATAAAGGAGATGAGAAAGACCTCTATGATGAAATGACATTTTGGTGGGAGTTCTGAAGGAAGTGAGGGAGAAAGCCGTGTGGGAGAAGAGTACCCCGGGGAGAGGGAGCAGCTTGTGCAAAGGCCTTGAGGCAGGCATTTGCCTAGTGTGTGTGTGAAACAGCAAGGGTGGCAATGTGGCTGGTGCATAGTCAAAGCAGAGGCAACAATTCTCAAGGATTCTTGGCTTGCTGTCCCGGGCAGGTATTTGTCT